AGATGTTCTGTGGCTTCCTGCTGCATCAGATTCTGCAGAAGTCTCTTCCTTCATCCTCAGCAGTTTGGGGTATTTTTTTCTCCTTGATCAGCAGATGTTTTCCTCTGATACTAGATTTGGTCTGTGGGCTCTGGCCAGTGGAAATCTGCAGGGTGCCATCTCACCCATCTCAAATCTACCTTAAACTTACTGCCTACCTCAGTGAGAATGCTCCTCCTTGTCCTGTTCCTGATCATATGGTAAACCTCAATCTTTCCCCATCGAGTATTATGTTTGCTATGTTTGTCACAAAGAGACATTATTATTTTTAGATTTCTCCCTTCTGAACACACTTTATTGAGGTTTATTTTAATCATCAGTAAATGCTGACTTTAGTAAAATGCATTTTCTCCACCTATTCAGATGATCATGATTTTTATATCTTTGATTCTGATTTGACAAATCAAAATTATGGACTTAGACCAACCCACTCTTGAATTTGTGGAATAAATCTTGCTATTCATGTATATGAAATTTTCTTCCCTGGCACTGTCTTTGTATATTTCATTGCCCCAGCAATGTCAAAGGACCCCTACCACTCTGGCACACCTGGGTCATCCTTGCTGCTCTATTGTCCTCCCCCCCCCCAACTCCACAAATACAACACATCCTAAAGGAGTCTCCTCCATTGGCACCCCTTCTTCCTAACTCAGAGCACACCACCTTCATCTAGGCCCCATCACCTTTTCATCGGGAAGAGTTCAAAAGGCGGTCGCTGCTCTCATACCCCACCTCCCCAGCCTACTGCTGTTGGACCACTGGTGTGTTCTCTGCAACACCCTCTGGTCAGCAGGCTCCAGACGCATTAGCTGTCTGAACTTGGGCAACCTGCTCCCCGGCCTGTGGGCCTGGGCTTGTGGCAAGTGGAAATCAGAGGATCTGCCTGGCAGGGTCAACGACCAATCACGCGAAGCAGCTAGGACAGGGGGCCCCCTGCACCGAAGTGCTGAAAAGTGTCCCCCTGCTGAGCCTCCGGTCCTTCACCCTGCACGTCGCTGTCCCTCGCGTTCAGGCTGGTGCCCAGGCCTGGAAAGCCCATCCCCATGCCAGTGGGTCGTGCCATCCCGGGCTGCCCCAAGTGTGCACTTTTCCCGGGCACCTAGCACGCCGCAGCCCCCAGAGCGACACGACCCATTCGGTGGCCCGTGGTGTCGGAGGGTGCGGG